ATTATATATGCTATGAGCCGCAATGTAAAAATAAGTATATAATCAAGAATTGGAAGATATTATGGAAAATAAATACTGCTGTTGTGAGAGTGAAGGATGTGTTTCCCCTTTCTTCAAAATTATTTCATGTTGTCTCCTGATGCGGTGGCTCACGCTTGTAATCCCATCACTTTGGGAGGCAGAGGCCAGAGAATTGCCTGAGTCCATGGGATTGAGACCAACCTGGACAATATGGCAAGACCTCATCCCCACAACTAATCAAAAAATTAGCCATATTGGCCCATACCAGTGGTTCCGGTTCCTTGGAAGGCTGGGGTAGACGTGTCTCCTGAGCCCAGCTGATCCAGGCTGTAGTGGCCATGAGCATGCCACTGCACTTCAGCCTGGGAGATGGAGACAGACTCCGACTCAGAAAAAAAAATCAAAAGTATTTCATATTGTCATGATATTATCCTTTTAAATACGTTTTTTTAAAAACTCAGTCAGCACTGAGCCAAGCACAGTGATTCACCTGTAGCCTCAGCTACTTGAGAAGCTGAGGCCAGAGAAATGCTTAAGCCTAGAAGTTCCAAAGCAGTCTGGGAAACATAGCAAGACCCTATCTCTTAAAAAACTAAAAACATCAATCATTACCACCAAGCATAGTGGCTCAAGCCTGCAATCCCAGCACTTTGGGAGGCTAAGACAAGAGGATTGCCTGAGCCCTTGGGTTTGAGACCAGCCTGGGCAACATGGTGAGACCTTGTCCCTATAATAAATAAATAAATAAATAAAATTAGCTGTGTGTGATAGCACACACCTGTAGTTCCGGCTACTTGGAAAGCTGAGGCAGAAGGATCACCAGAGCCCAGCAGGTTGATGCCGGGTGGCTATGAGCATGTCACTGCAATCCAGCTTGGGCGACAGAAAGACTCCAACTCAAAAAAAAATCAGTCATTACTTCATACTCACCATATCAGAGAAAGAGCCAGAAACAGAGAAAGAAATTTGTTCTTTTTTTTTTTTTTTTTTGAGTGGCAGTCTTACTCTGCCACCTGGGCTGGAGTGGTGCAGTGACACGCTCACAGCCTCAACCTGCGGGGCTCAGATGATCCTTCTGCCTCAGCCTTCCAAGCTGCTAGAACCACAGGAATGTGCCTCCATGCCTGGCTGATTTTTTTAAATTTATTGTAGAGATGGGGTCTCACCGTGTTGGTCAGGCTGGTCTTGAACCGCTGAGCTCAGGTAATCCTCTTGTCTCCATCTCCCAAAGTGCTGGGATTACAAGCATGAGCCACTGCGCCCAGCTCATCTTTTAAGAGACAGGGTTTGGCTCTGTCATCCAGGCTGGAGTGCAGTGCTGCAGTCACAGCTCACTGCAGCCTTGAACTCCTGGCCTCAAGCAGTCCTCCTGCCTTGGCTTCCCAAAGCACTGGGATTGGGGCCTGAGCCACTGTGCCAGCCCAGTTCCTTCTGTTAATGGATATTCATATATCCATTACCTAATGTGTTTGCTTGGACCACTATACAAAATACTGTGGTTTAAATGATGGAAATTTATTTCTCACAGTTCTCTAGGTTGGGAAGCTCAAGGTCAAGGTGCTGGCATGGTCAGATTCTGGTGAGGGCCTTCTTCCTGGGTTGTTGACAGCTGCTTTCTGTGTCCTCACAAGGCAGTGGGGACAAGCGCTAGGCTTTTTCTCTTCTTCTAAGGGCACTAATCAAATCACATGCACTCTACCTGGATGGCCTTGTCTAAACCTAATCACCTCCCAAGGGCCCCACCTTCCGATGCCATCCCATTGGGGGTTAGGGTTTCAATATGTGACTTTGGGGGGGGATACAGACATGCAGTTCATAACACCTGGACTTAACACTAAGTATTTTGCCACATTAACTATTTTCTGAAGTGTTTTAAAGTATATTACAAATACTAGGATGTTTTACATCTGAATACTAAAATATGCATCTTTAAAATATCAGGATTGCTGGGATCGGTGGCTCAGCCTGTAATCCCACGCCTTGGGAGGCTGAGGTGAGTGGATTGCCTGAGCCTGTGGGTTCGAGACCCGCCTGGGCAACTTGGTGAGACCTCATCTCTACAATAAATCAAAAAATTAGCCAGGTGTGGTAGCATGCACCTGTAGTTCCAGCTACTTGGAAGGCTGAGGCGGAAGGATCGCCAGAGCCCAGCAGGTTGAAGCTGCGGTGGCCGGGAACAGCCACTGCACTTCAGTCTGAGTGACAGAGTGAGACTCCAACTCAAAAAAAAAAAAAAAAAAAAAAGACTCAGGATGCTTTTCTGTATAACCACAGAATTTGTCATTAACATAACAATAAAAGTTCCTCTGTATCATCTAGTACACTTTCTATCTTTCCACTTACTCAGTTGTCCTCCAAGTGTTTTTTTCAAGCAGTTGCTTCAAACCAGTATCCAATCAAAGTTATGAAATGAATTTGACTGTTTGGACTCTTTTTCCCAATAGACTTTACCTTTTAGAGCAGTTTTGAGTTCACAGCAAACATGATGAAAGGTCCAGAGATTTCCCATATACCCCATCCTCACACACACACACACACACACACACACACACACATCCTCCCATTATGCACATCCTGCAATAGTGTGGTTCATTTTTTTACAATGAACGACCCCACATCGACACGTCAGTATCACCCACTATCCTTAGTTTATGTTAGGGTTCCCTCTTGTCGTTGGGTGGTCTGTTAGGGTTTTGATGCAAAATGACATGTACCCACCATTGTAAAATCTTGCAAAATAGTTTCACTGCCCTAAGAATCCTCTGTGCTCTGGTATATTCGGACTTGTATTCTCTCTACCTTTAAAATAGAACCCATTCCCCCACCCCCACCTTTATTCTTGTTGTTGACTCCTTGGAAGAGACATGGCCAGGCTGTTGTCCTGTCAGGGTCCCACTTGTGTTGAAGTGTTTCCTCTGGTTGTCTTTTGCTTTTTTCCTCTTGTAGCCTCTGTCAACTGGAAATTAGATCTAAAGCCTTGGTTAAGTTCAAGTTAAACATTTTAGGAGTGAATACCTTATAGTATTCTTTATAGTGATCTTGTATTTTATATTGCATCATATAAGGAACCAATAACATCTGGTAGTCCTAAGACAGGGTAAAGTTGACAGCCTGTAAAGTGATATTAGAAAGTAGTATCTTTCCCCTTGGAAAAACAGGTAACTAGTGGGACAATGCTTGGAAATCACACCCATGTAATCAGTTTCCTGTTAGCCTTTTACCTGTGTGTTGTAACATCCTTGCCTGAGTCGGGTATTTTATTAGAAGTTGCAAAGTGAGGCCAGGCGTGCGGTGGCTCTCACCTCTAATTCTGCCCCTTAAGAGGTGGAGGCAAGAGGATCACGTGGGCCCAGAAGTTCGAGACCAGCATGAGCAACATAGCAAGACAGTGTCTTTACAGAAAATAACAAATCTAACCGGTGTGGCGATGCATGCCTATAGTCACAGCTACTCGGGAGTCTGACACAGAAGGATCGTTAGAGCCCAGGAGTGGGAGGCTGCCGTGAGCCATGATGGTGCCACTGCACTCAAGCCTGGGTGACAAAGTGAGACCCTGTCTCTTAAAAAAAAAGTTGCAAAGTGTCATTTTTCTAATTCTTTCAACATTTGTCTTTTTTAAAATGAGCTTTTCCTTATCAACTAGGTCTATGTGGTTATCCTTAAATGTTATCCTGAAATTCAGTTCTTATGGGAATGGAATAAGTGATTGATTCTTTCCTTTAATTACCAGTTTTTAGAATAAGACTCCTGTGGTGGTTCTGGGCCTTGCTGTTCCCTACCTGGGAGGGCGGGCTGGGAGAGGTGGAAGCTGACCCCTGCAAGTTCCCTCCTCTGTCTTCCATCTCCTGAAACTGGAAGACTGTCGGGGTGGAAGATTGGAGCCAGAGTGTCCCCCCCCATCTCCTCCTTTGGGTTTCTAGGATTTAATAACCTTAGTTTGTTTCCATTTTGTTGATTTATTGGGGTTTTTTTTGGTTTTCATTTATTGATTTTACTTTCATTTTATTAGTTTATGGAAAGCAATAATGGTTTTTTACTTATGAGACTGATACCAAGTTTTGTTATTATTTTGGTTTTTAAAAAGACAAATTTAAATAGTAACTGTGTCTCGTATAGGTAGTGCACAGATGAGGCAAAAATTGTGTAAGTGGTCCATGGACTAAATACTAGGAAGAAACTTTAAGCAAGATCAAGTGTGGAAATCTGGACAGCGTCAGTGGGATTGGGGGAGTGGATATGAGATATTGAAAAGCTGAATAGCTTTCCAGTAACTTGCATGTGGAAGGAGGAGGAGGGGAACTCAAGGATGCTGGCCAGTCCCTGGCTTGGGCGATTGATGACACAAGTGTTCACTGAGATGGGGAATATAGGGAGCACATGTTTCATCTCTACTATTAATAACGAATCAGATTCAGATATTAGGTAGAAGTAGACACTAAGTCAAAACTCATGTGTTTTTTATAACCATCTTAAGAAGTTACAGATTGAGTATGTTTGACAAGGTGTGTGTCATAAGCAACAAAGTGTTGTGGATAATGAATAGAGGAAAGTGAGTGACAAGTTTCTGTGATGAAAGTTCCCTAATGACCCATCTTACTCCATGTCTCTCCCCCAAGCTTGTGTAACACTATATGGAATAGGTGCTCAGGAAGACTTGGGTAGCTTGAGTCCGAAAACTGGAATCACTTTTCTGTTTCTGTGTCTGCTAATGTGTCTTATTAATATCTATTTTCTACAGCACTATTTTGCTGTCTCTTTGATCTCAAGGATTATTCTATGATTAGCAGAGTTGTAAAGCTTAACGCCACAAAAAAATTCTTTAAAACCTGGTAAGGTAGTTACAGCTTGTGAATTGATTTTTTTTTTTTTTTACAATTTATCATCACAGAGCAGATGTTAAGGGTTTAATTAAATACTTCTATTTGGAGTTCATTTGATGACCTAAATTAGAAGTTACTACTTTTTATGTTTTTTTGTAGAATGGCTTTAAGTGTCACTGTATGTCCGAATCTCATCAGAGACAGCTGTTGCTGGCTTCAGAAAATCCTCAGCAGTTTATGGATTATTTTTCAGAGTAAGTAACTTGAAAAACTCCTTATCTCATAAGCTTTATTCAGTTGGACACTAAATAGATCGTTAATGTTTTATATATTAGAGGTTCTATTGTGTCTTATATGTTAACGTAGCTATATTCTTTCTCTGCTCGGTTTTTATCTTCTTTTAAAGATTTGTCTGGTATGAAATTGGTACGACAATGTTTCTCACAATTTAGTTTTTTCTTCCTTCCACTTTAGGTATACAGAACTGTCTTTTGTTATAACACAGTTGTGACTAGGTAGTCGGGCCACCCGAATGCAGATCATTCCTATGCGGGAGCATGTGCCTTTGGGTGACCTGCTTCAGGTTTTCTCATCTGTAAAAAGGGACTGAAACTAGGGAACTCTTCTAAGCATTGCTGATCCTTCACGGAGTCTGTGTGAAGATCAGTGGGTCAATACTTTGTAAGTGCTTGGAGGTACCAGTACCTGATTGAGACACCTGTTAATTACTATTAGTGGTCTTGCTTCTAGCCATATCTTTCTTTCCAAACTAATAGATCTTTTGCTTTTAGGGCTTCTCTATGTTCTTGAAAATTGTTGAGGGCCCCAAAGAGCCTCTGTGTATCTGGGTTGTATGTATTAACACTTAGAAATCAAAACAGATTGGGAGTGATGGTTCATACCTGTAATCCCAGCCCATTGGGAGGCCAAGACGAGAGGGTTGCCTGAGCCCACGAGTTCGTGACCAGCCTGCGCAACTTGGCAAGACCTTGCCACTACAATAAATCAAAAAATTAGCCAGGCGTAGTGGTGTGTGCCTTTAATTTCAGCTACTTGGAAGTCTGAGGCAGAAAGATCACCTGAGCCGAGCAGGTCGAGGCTGTGGTGGCTGTGAGTGTGCCATTGCACTCCAGCCTTGGCAAAAGAGTGGGACTCCAACTCAAAAAAGAAAGAAAAGAAAGAAACCAAAACAGAAGCTCAAAAATGTATTTATAAACTAATTTTAAAATAATAGTAAACTTAGTATGTGTTAAAATAAATAGCATTTTTAATGAAAAGTAATTATGCCACATTTTAAAGGATGCACCATTTTGCATTTTTGTAAATCTCTTCAGTGTCTCACTCAAGAAAAGACAGTTGGATTCTCACATCTCCTGTGCATTCAGTCTGTTGTGAAGTGTTTGATTGAAGTCCATAAAGAAAACCCAGGCTTACGTCTATAATACCAGTACTTTGGGAGATCGAAGTGAGAGAATTGCCTGAGCCCACGGGTTCAAGACCAGCCTGGGCAATTTGGAAAGACCTCATCTCTATAATAAATCAAAAAATTAGCTGGGCATGGTGGCGTGTACCTATAGTTCCAGCTGCTTGGAAGGCTGAGGCAGAAGGATCACCTGAGCTCAGCAGGTCGAGGCTACAGTGGCGGTGAGCATGCCACTGCACTCCAGCCTGGGCGACAGAGTGAGACTCCAATTAAAAAAAAAAAAAAAAAGCCCAGGCTTTACATAGAGATGTAGCTGGGAGGGGAGTGCATTTTAATAATCCTTTCAGATAATTTTGGAGTATTCTTTGATATTTACATCAAAACACAATGTATGGCAGTTTCTTAAAGATTCCTTGCAGTATGGAATCTGAAACCAGGTCAGTGAACTTTTTGAACTCTGTTACATCAAAATCTATTAGACATCTTTGACTTTGAGTGGATGTCATACCCATGCATGATTTTGTAACATCATGTGCTGATTGTTTGAAAAGTGCCATTTTACTAAGTGTTATAGATCATCCAAATTGTGACATGTTCTGTGGAATAACTCCGTAGAATCATATTCATTAATCTCAACACCGACGTCCTCAGAAACATTGTTAAGTATTGGGAAGCATGTCAGACTCAGTGGCAGATACTACTTTGAAAGTTCAAGTTTTATCTTTGGCCACAGACACTGTCAGCTGTTTTCCTTAATGCAAAAGAGTTACTTTGTTTATTTTTGAAAAAATATATGCCAACTATTCAATTTGGAGTAATGCTAGTTGGTATTGTCAGTTGTTCTTTCAAGTCATAATGGTGTCCCATGGAAGAGATGTTTCAGCTTGCGACTCAAGCAGTCACACAGTGCTTTTCTCAGGACAGCTGTAGTGCAACAGCAGAAGCGGTTTCTTCGTGACTTTCATTTTGTCACCCAGAATGTTAGGAAGATGCGTACTTGTGGGCTGATGTTTGTCTGATACAGTCAGTGACTGGTCTGCAAGCATGTAGTGGTGAGGAGCATGCTGGTTGCTGGCACGGCTTGCTGTCAGCACCGCTGCCCTGGCTTTGCGAAGCTGCCAACGGGCTCACCCTATTGCTCTTCTATAAAACCATCAGTGTAAATCACACAGTGCCAAGGGCAGACGCGGCGTATCCGTGGACACCTACCGCCATCCTGAGTGCCACGGTGTGCATGTGCCATGCCAGGAGGCACTGCTCTGGCAAGTGCGGCTGCACCCAGAACTCTCCGTCCCCACACTCCCGGCTCAGCCGCCAAGGCTGCCTTTTCTGTCTTCTTCATCCTTCTCGAGCTTTCTCTGAGAACGCCCCTTTGCCACGTGAGTGAACGCCTCTGCTCAGTGTCCTCTCACAACTTTCCAGCTTCCCCCTTGGTGCTTGCTTGCTTCGTGAACGCCTCTTCCTCTCCTGCGCCTCAGATCCAAGAAGGTTCTCCAGGGTGTAACTCGAGACAGATGTTAGGATGAACTTCAAGGTGTAAGAGTCCCCTGCTATAAAGGTGACAGGTGAAAGGCTAATGGAACTCAGGAGATTGTGTGGAGTGGGGTGAGAAGGAGTCACCTTTATATTTGGGGACTCTTACATCTTGAAGTTCATCCTAACACCTGTCTCGAGTTACAGATTTACTTTTTTTTTCCTGGACAGCTCTCATCTGTGTTTCTGAAAGCTGTCTCAGAGTCAGCGCTTCTATAACTGAACTCAGTGTTTGCTCCTGCAAACCTGCTTCTGATCCTGTGTTGGCTAACAGCCATCTGCCCAGTCTCCTAAGCTGTAAGCCTCAAGTTCTCTTGGAAGTCCCTCTTGTCAGCTCTACACAACATCATTTAATCTATCTACATGTCTGTCTGTCTGTCTATCTCTCTATCTCTCTATCTATCTATCTATCTGTCTATCTATCTATCTATCTAGATGCGGTCTCCCTGTGTTGCCCACCTCAGCCTCCTAAGTAGCTGGACTCTAGGTATATGCCACTGCACCTGACTTACAAGCTTACAATGTCATGTAAACATATGTCTTTCCCATTCTCACTGCCCTTATAATAGTTCTCAGCTTCTCTCACCTACTGTACAACGTCTGAGAATGAGGTTCGTGAACCATCCTAGAAAAAGTTCTCCATACCTCATTGTTGAATATCACTGTGGTCAGCTTTGAAGTACCCCCCCCCCCCGGTAAGCTATGCACCTACGCTAGCACCTAGTTTACCTGTCAAAGCAATTTTGGAACTCTTTCTGGAATGGCCATCACAGCTGTCATCATTATTTGTTCGGGTTTGATAATTAAGTTCACACACTTGCCACCGTGCACTTATGTTGGCAGCACTGTACAAACAATATTGGAACACCCTCCCTACTCACCTGATCTGTCCCCCAATGGCTTTTTTCTTTACCCAAAGATGAAGGAAACATTGAAAGGAAGATATTTTGATGATATTCAGAACATGAAGTGTAATACAACAACAGCTCTGATGGCTGTTCCAGAAAAAGTTCCAAAATTGCATTGATGGGTAGACTAGGTGCTGACGTTGATGCATAGCTTCCCAAGGGGAAGACTTCAAAGATGACCTTATTGAGATTTAGCCTTGAGGTATGGAGCACTTTTTCTAGGTGGAGTTTGCAAACTTAATTGTTTGCAATTGTTTGCAAACTTAATTGACATAAAACCTATGTCAGTGACTTTCTCCCAGTCCCCCAACCTGCGACTTGGCCCCTTGTGTATGGTTTCTTCCAGTGCTTCACAACCCTGGCATGCATCAGAATCACCCGGGTAGGGCTTGTTCACAGAACAGCAGATTCCACAACCAGCTTCTGAGTCAGTAGATCGGGGTGGGGCTGCAGATTTCAACTCCAAACTGACCTTTAACTTAATCCTTGAAAGTTGTTATATTTTGGAGTTCTTTCCCCGCTTCATTTTTAAAGGTTCATAACAGATGATTCATACATTATTTGGACATTAACACCATACTGTTGCTTAAATTTCAGGAAGTCGAGCTTGTATATTTGGAGATATTTCTTAATGTTTTCCTTTCTTTCTTTATTAGGGAATTCCGAAATGACTTTCTAGAACTCCTCAGGAGACGCTTTGGTAAACATCTTAAGTATTGTGCAGATAATAACTTTATAATGGTATAGTCTTCTCAGGATCAACAGTCACATTCTGTCCTTAGGCACTAAGCGCGTCCACAACAACATTGTCTACAATGAATACATCAGCCACCGAGAGCACATCCACATGAATGCTACGCAGTGGGAAACACTGACGGATTTCACCAAGTGGCTGGGCAGAGAGGGTAAGAAGAAGAGATTGTCTGAATGGCTGTTACGTGGCTCTGTTGATGGGAGAGAAAGACTTGTCATCATTTCTAAATTCATGGGAAAGAGGATGGGATTAATTGTGCCTATTATCGTTGAATACGGATGTCTGGAATAGTGCTTTTGGCAGTGCAGAGTCTTTCATGTTTTTATTTTTTTTTTTATTTTTTGAGTTGGAGTCTCTGATGCCCAGACTGGGGTACAGTGGCACATTCATGGCTACTGCAGCCTCAGTATTCTGGGCTCAGGCGGTCCTTCCACCTCAGCCCTCCAAGTAGCTGGAACTATAGGTGCACGCCACCACACCCGGCTAGTTTTTTTTATTTATTATAGAGATGCGGTCTCACTAAGTTCCCAGGCTGATCTCAGACCCCTTAGCTCAGGCAATCCTCTCATTCCTGTCTCTCAAAGGATTACAGATGTGAGCCACCAGACCCAGCAGTTTCTAATATTTTGTTTTATATATATATTAGAGACAGAGTCTCACCCTGTCACCCAGGCTGGAGTGCAATGGTGCGATAATAGCTCACTGCAGCCTTGAGTTCCTAGGCTCAAGTAATCCTCCCGCTCAGTCTCCCAAGTGGCTGGAACTGCTGTTGTGTGCCACCACACTTGGCTAATTTTTAAAAAATTTTTGTAGAAATAGGATCTTGCTGTGTTGCCCAGGCTGGTCTAGAACTCCTGGTCTTAAGCCATTTTTCTACCTCAGCCTCCCAAAGTGCTAAGATTATAGGTGTGAGCTACCATGGCTGGCTAACTGTACAAAGTTTCATCACTGAAGAATCCTCTTATTTAGATGAAAACTTATTAGCTATCTCCTCCATCCTCCCACCCCCTACTTTTCTTACCCTCCTTAAGATTTTTTTTTTAAGTTGCTTTTTCTTATCTTCATAAGATAAGTTTGGGATAAGAAAGAAAAAAAATTATATCAATGTTTTGCTTATTCATTATGCTACTTTAGTCTATTTCAGGAGAATAATTTCTGCTTCAAGTTAGCAAACATCTTGTACTCAATGGCTATTAAATACTTAGACACAATTGAAGAATTACTATATGAGATGATGCAGTTGTCCCTTGTCTCTCAGTATCTGTGGGGGGTTGGTTCTAGGACCCCTGCTGATACCAAAATCCATAAACACCCAAGTTCTTGAAATAAAATAGTGTAGTATTTGCATATAACCTACACACATTCTCCTGTAAACTTTAAATAATCTCTAGATTGCTTATAATACTTCAAGTGTTGTATAAATAATTTTAATACTGTATTGTTTAGGAAATAATGACAAGTAAACAAATGCCTGTACATGTTCAGTATAGATACAATCATGCATTAAAAAAAAGTTGGGGGGTGGGATTGGCGGTTGAGGGAAACTGCCAGGGGAGGGAGGGGCACACCTCATCAACAAGGGTATCTGCATAATGAACATTTGTTTACCTAACCCTGAATTGTACTCCACATCTTTAAAATAAATAAATAATTTTTTTTAAGTGTCTGATGTACAGTTGGTTGAATCCACAGATGCAGAACCCACGAATATGGAGGACTGATTATATGTTTTTCAGGTCCTTCACTTGCTTAAATATATCACCTCAACCTAGCTACGTAAAAACCAGAATCATTTTTTTCTACCTAAAAAGATAAAGAAAATATTCTGCTTACCGTATCTAAATTTCATTGTATAAATATGAAAAATTTATGTGCTGTGTGGATTTGTGTCTTTGAATGGGTTTGAGTGCATTTGAATGAAGGAGTAAATACACAGACGTGGAACACAGTTACATTTCATTTCACTTTGATTGTCTGCAAACATATGGCACCTGTTGTTTTTTTAAGGCTTGTGCAAAGTGGATGAGACACCAAAAGGCTGGTATATCCAGTACATAGACAGGGACCCAGAAACTATCCGCCGGCAGCTGGAACTGGAGAAAAAGAAGAAGCAGGACCTTGATGATGAAGAAAAAACTGCCAAATTTATTGAAGAACAAGTGAGAAGAGGTCTGGAAGGGAAGGAACAGGTGGGCAGCAATGTCATCCGGCGAGGCAGTATTGAAAGCGTTTAAAGGAGCAGGCCCTGAATGGAAAGTTTGTAGCTCTGTTCCTTAACTTAGAGGAGAAAGCATGCTCAGCTGTCAAAGCACAGGTTTTGAAGTTGAGACAAACCTTGGTTTAATTCCTGACTTGCTTCATGACCTTGCATAATTATAGACTCTTTCTTAACCTCCGTTTTCCTGTCTCTAATATAGAGACAGTACCTTGTGGGAAGACAACGTAAACAGATCATCTTAGCTGACTGTACTGTGCAGTGTATGGGAGTGTTGGGGGCCAACGTTTAGTCCAGCCTGGGGAGGACAAAGACTTATTTGAAGGTGTACAGAACCCCTGAGCTCAGGAGTCTTGAAGAACCAGTGAGTGAAGCCAGACGAACAGGGGAGGGAAAGGGCTCAGGCATTAGAATAACTAGGTCAGGGCACTGATGTCAACAATCGTTTATCAGTGCTTCTTATGTGCCAGGACTCTTGGGCCCTGCAAAACCCAGTGAGCAAAAGATACAAAAACTGCCCCTTGTGGTTCACATCCGAACAGTTGTCACCAGGTGTGGTGGCTCACACCTGTAATCCCAGCACTTTGAGAGACAGAGGTGAGAGGACTGCCTGGGCAACTTGGTGAGACCTCGTCTCTACAATAAATAAAAAATTAACCAGGCGTGATAGCACGCACCTGTGGTTCCAGCTACTTAGAAAGCTGAGGTGGAAGGATCACCTGAGCCCAGCAGGTCCAGGCTGTGGTGGCATTAACATGCCACTGCACTCTGACCTGGGCAACAGAGTGAGACTCCTACTCAAAAAATAAATACATACATACATAATAACAGTTGTGTTAGAGCAGTTAAATACAGCCTGCTATGTATGTGAAACTACTAGCTACTTACCATCTTTTAAACTTTTTATTGAACTCTAACATACATTCATTAAAGTGCATAATGGCATTAATGTTACACGTATATAGTTCAATGAACTTTACACATATGTGTGAGAAGAGAAAGAGAGAGAGAAATAGATAAATAGCTTGTGTTAACCACCACCCAGATACAGATATAGAATACTTCCAGTGTCCCAGAAGGTTCCTCATGCTAATTCCCAATTAAAACCCCCGCCCCCAGGAGTAACCACTATTCTGGGTACCACATGCTTATTGATTAGTTGAATCTATTCTTGAACTTCTTATAAATGAAGTCATACCATATGCTGTCTTTTATATCTGGCTTCTTTAACTCAAATACAATGTTTGTGCAATCCATCCATGTTGTTTACTATCTGTGTTTCACTCTTTTTTTTTTTTTAAGTTGGAGTCTCACTCTGTCACCCCTCATGGCCACCCCAAGCATCGACCTGCTGGGCTCTGGCGATCCTTTCACCTCAGCCTTCCTAGTAACTGGAACTACAGGCATGCCATACCATGCCCGGCTAGTTTTTGGTTTATTGTAGAAATGAGGTCTCACCAAGTTGCCCAGGCTGGTATCGAACCCATGGGCTCAAGCAATCCACTCACCTCAGCCTCCCAAACTGCTGGGATTACAGGCTGAGGCACCAAGCCTGGCCATGTGTTTCACTCTTTTTGAAAAATTGACATGTAGTATCCCATTTTGGAGTAGAGCACTCTCTGTTCTTTTGAGGAACATCTATCTGGCTGTTTTCAGCTTTTGCTGTTATGATGATAGCTGCTCTGATCATTATTCTACATGTCTTGTTTAAGCTGTTTAGCTTATAGAGTCATACAGGAGGCCAAGTATGGTGGTTTATGCCTGTAATCTTAGCACTAGGGGTGGGAGAGATGGAGGGGTCACTTGAGGCTAGGAGCTCAAGGCCTGCCTAGGTGACATAGGGAGAACCCATCCCTACAAAGTTTTTAAAAAAATAATAAACAGGGCATGATGGCATACACCTGTAGTCCCAGCTATTCAGGAGGCTGAGGCAGGAGGATCACTTGAGCCCAGGAGTTTGAGGCTGCAGTGAACTGTGATCCCACCACTGTACTCCAGCCTGGGTGATGGCGTGAGACCCTGTCTTCCAAAAAAAGAGTAATGCAGGAAACAGCAGGCAATAAGACTTAATAAGACTTAACACATTGGTAATAACAAGTTTATGATCAACTTTTATACCATGTTAATTGTATAACCCAGTGTGTGTATTATAATACATTAATAAATATATCTACATAATCTTTAGGGATTTTCTGCATTAAATTAAAACAGGATCAAGCCTGGCTCTGTGGCTCAGCCTGTAATCCCAGCACTTTGGGAGACTGAGGTGAGTGAATTGCCTGAGCCCGCGGGTTTGAGACCCACCTGGGCAACTTGGCAAGACCTCATCTCTACAATAAATCAAAAATTAGCCGGGCATGGTAGCGTGAGCCTATAGGTCCAGCTTGGAGGGTTGAGGCAGAAGGATCGCCAGAGCCCAGCGGGTCAAGGCTGCGGTGGCCAGGAGCGGCCACTGCACTCCAGTCTGGGTGACAGAGAGACTCCAACTCAAAAAAACAACAACAACAAAAAAAAACAGGATCAATGGTTAAACTGCTACAATTATGAAATTTAAACTTTTGCTTAAGATTGAAAACTTTCCATTCTTGAAATTCTCTCACCTTTTAAAAATTTGAAGGTCTGTTTTCAGAAAGTGAAATATTGTAATTTACTATTGCAGAAATTAAGAAGGATCACATCTTTTGGTACAGAAGAATGTGGTTTACTTTTTGGAATAACATTGTCTGGTAATATTTTAGCTTACTGTTGTTAAAACCTTCAAGTTATTTTGTACTTTTCAGGTATAATTCAGGTTATTTTGTGCTTTTCAGGTGTCTCAGCAGGGGAAACCCTACTGCTGAGTGAGTCCTAATTCTGTGTCTACAAATATCAAAAATTATAAAAGATGATATTCTTCTGCCTTGCTGTGTGAAATCCTATATGGGCATTACATGAGAAAAGAGTATTGTAGCTAGATCAAGATCAAGGACATCTTTTTTTGTTAGCAGCAGTAACAGTATTTAGGAAGCACTTACCATGAACACTATGACAGGCTCAGTGTTTCCTGCAAATTATCCTGCCTACCCATTGCAACAACTTTAAGTATATACATTATCTCTGTTTTGAAGATGGAATAACTGAGGCTTGAGGGGAGCAATGAGGCTGACAAATTACAAAGTGAATAGCTTGCAGAGGTAGGTTTTATATGCAGTTTTGTTTGTGTTTAGTCTAAAGCACCGAATCGTTACACAGAATTACACCATAATATAGAAAGGTTTTGCTTTTTAAAGTAATCCTTAAGCTACAATTCCTAAATTGCGTTGTCTTTTTTTTGTTATTGTTTCCTGTTGAAGTTGCAATAGAATTAAAATGTAGGTAAATGTTTACAGTTTTTTTTTAACAGAAAAGCTACTTTTTTTCTTCTTTAGAATAATTCTCAATTAGAGAATATTTGCAAAGTATATAATTTTTTAATTAGGATTTTAATCACTTTAGAGTTGACTTCAACACCAATAGCACATCGTAGTTTAGGCCTTTTGAATAGTGATAGTAAGTGACTGTAAACCAACACCTTAAAACTCCTTTTTTTTCTTTTTTTAGGAGGTTCCTGTTTTTACGGAATTAAGTAGAGAAAATGATGAAGAGAAAGGTAGTTTTAGTTTTTCTTTTCCTTTTTTATCTTATTTTTAATTTCTTAAAATTTTGTGTTTTCTTTATTAAAATACTATCTCTTAGACACAGATCTTTTCCTTTTTGAGAAACAGCGGGTGCTTTTGTATTGGCTTTGCCAGAAACTAGCAACATGTCAACATGTTTGGGAGTAAGACATTTAATCTGATGGGTTGCATTGTTGTTATTTGTAAAATGAAAAGGTCATGCTAACAAGTTGGGTGGAATGACATCAGCTACAAGCAACAAAATTAACTATAGTGAGTTTAAACACTGAGGAAAGATTTTGCCATAATAAGAACTCTAGGAATCAGATGGTTCTCCATGCCAGGCAGACAGAAGATAGCTGCCAGCAACCCAGCATTGTCCAAGGCTGGAGGAGAGCATCTCTTCTGGAATCCTGCTAGGAGCAAGGAGACTTTTCACAGAAGATAGTTCTTCTGCCAGTGCACTTCTGAGTGTCGATGGCCAGATCTGTACCACACTGTGTACCTTTTTTTTTTTTTTCGGCCAACAAATATTTACTGAGCCACTTTTGTGTGCCCGGGCACTATCTGCCTTAAAAGCGGTCACTGGATTATGTTGATGGTCTAGACAACCAGAATTTACTCTAGAGATGAAGACGGTGTTATGTTCCCTGAGCCAGTGGCAGGAGGTACGACACCTAAACAGGATTGGAGTACTGTTAGCCAGCAAAAGGAGGGACGAGTCGGGCGGCAGCCAGTGTCGTGATGTCCGTCCCAGATCTCCAGGTGCCAGTCTGGGACTTTTTACAGGGATATAGGACCTCTAGTTAGGAACATTTCAGCTCTTATTTATTAAACATGTCCATGATTCCTCTGCAAGTACCTTGTAGTATCTTATCTGGTGGGTTTCATTTCCATTTTTCTGAAATATACATATGGAATAACAATTTTTTCTTCTAGTTACATTTAATTTGAACAAAGGAGCCTGTAGTTCAGCTGGAGCAACGTCTTCCAAGTCAAGGTGAGCTGCATTCCCGGATGTCTTAAAGCTGTGGAACTTTTATGAAATGTTGGCTACTACACTTTACAGTGTTCTGAATCATTTTTTCTGGTTGCAGTTTTCTTCTTTTTTGGTTTTTGTTTGTTGCTTAGGGTTTGTTTTTTAGCAACTTTTTTTTTAAGAGACAAGGTCTTGCTCTGCTGCCTAAGCTGGCATTGAAATCCTGGGTTCAAGTGAACTTCCCACCTGGGCCTGTCGAGCAGCTGGGGCTGCAGGTTTGAGGAAAGGTTTGTTGTGATCACACATTTCACATGGATAAATGTTCTGTTCTCTGTGGCTCCTTCTCCATGTAATGGTTCCTTTCGCATGACTATAAAACTGGTTATTCTTTGGCCGGGCTCGGTGGCTCAGCCTGTAGTCCCGCGCTTTGGGAAGCCGAGGTGAATGAGTTGCCTGAGCCCGTGGGTTCAAGACCCGCCTAGGCAACTTGGCAAGACCTCATCTCTACAATAAATTTTAAAAAGTTAGCCAGGCGTGGTAGCGCGTGCCTGTAGTTCCAGCTACTTGAAAGGCTGAGGCAAAAGGATCACCAGAGCCCAGCAAGTTGAGTCTGCAGTGGCCGGGAGCATGCCACTGCACTTCAGTTTGGGCGACAGTGTGAGACTCCAACTCACACACAAAAAAAAAACTGGTTATTTTCCTGTCATAGCCCTCTTATCACAGGTTGAATGTTAGCTGAGTGTACATTTTTCTTTTCCCTGTTCTTTTGTGATTTTCCGAGAATGGCGACTGAGCTAACACCCTTTCTCCTTAGCCCCCAGTGCCGTGCAAATGCCCTAGGACGCCCTCAGCCATAACTGCCTTCCCTTCTCGATGGTCAAGTGCAGAGCAGGGCTCAACAAACCTTTTCTGTCAGGGGCTATATAGTAAGTATTTTAGGCTTATTGCCCAAATGTCTTTGTCACAGCCACTTAATTCTGCTGTCATAGTGAGGAAGCAGCTGTAGACGATACATGAATAAATTGAGCGAGGCTGTGTTCCAACAAAATCTTATTCACAGAAACAGGTGGCAGGTGGCAGTTGGCCCTCGGGCAGTACCAAACCCTGGTACAACATGTAGTCATGCCTGTTCTGTCCACCTTTCACGTGATCACCTCTTGGAATTCCTTTATATTCTTCCACCGAGTTGTTATTCACTATTTATTTTTTATTTTTTTCATAGTCCTAGTGTACAGGATGAATCATTCACTGCTTTTGATGTGCTGTACATTCAATTTGTTACAGAGGTTTAAAAAAATGACTAAGACAAGATTCTCAAGTACCAGTATCTACTCAAATTTACTTTTAAGTTGGGTGATGTTTTCTCTTTTGCTTAGTACTTCACATGTTGTTTATTTAAGATCTCACTAAGGTTTTTTGGGTTCATTTATAGGTCAGTACTAATTTGCATGGCTGAATAAATTAGGAGAGGGGAAGGAAATACATGTCAGCTAACCAGCAGTGTAGATCAGCTTCAAGATGACTTGCCAGATGTCTATACATTGATTGGAATCATATTTATAGAATAGATGTCATCAAGAAAATGGCTAATTGGGTCCTACATGTGGTGCATCTGGAAAGAATTGTCTAAAGTTGGCATTGTGGGATGGAAGACAGGCCCAGATGCATCCCAACACAGGCCTCATAGCTTAGGCCCTGATGCGTTTCTCTCCATTCTCTTGGATTATCCATTATTCCCAGGAGTAGGTGAATGTTCAGGTTGGTTCCAGTGGCCCCAAGATGGATCACGCTTGTACTCGTTTTCTATGGCTGCTGTAGCAAGTGACCACAAACTGGATGGCTAAAACCTCTGGGGGCCAGAGTTCTGAAGGCAGCACCCCTGGGATGAAATCAAGGTGTTTGCCAGACGTGCACAAGACCAGCATCTTCAAACTTCACTGTGCCCCATTTCACATTACCTTCCCCTCCAAGTGTCAAAACTCCTCTTTGATTGCCTGAGCCCAGGGGTTTGAGCCTAGTCTGGACAACTTGGCAAGACCTCGTCTCTACAATAAATAAAAAAATTAGCCAGATGTGGTGGTGAGCACCTGTAGTCTCAGCTACTCAGAGACTGAGGTGGAAGGATCGCCTCATTTGCAAAGAGCCTTTTCTCAGATATGGTAACATGAATAAGTTCTAGGGATCAGGACCTGATATGGGGGGTTCGGTTCAGCCTGCTGTATTGCCCTGTGCCAAGCCTTGATATTATTAGTTAATATTATTCTTTTAATTCTTATCACTTTTGATAATTTATTTGATCAGTTATCTAGATTAATACATAAATAGTGTCACAGATAACACAGTCGACTTATTTAAATTTTATTGTTTCTGAGATTATGGTGTATTTTTGCAGAAGTTGGGATTTTTTCTTTTGATTTATATTGCTTATATATCTGAATCACAGAAGAACCAAGTGATGTAGATATTAAAGTGAACATTTTAGGCTACATTGAGGCACAAATACAAGCCCCACTTCCTTGTTGCGTGAAGAGAGGTTACCCTGTTTTTGTTTGTTTTTCCTTCGGGTTTCAGTGTCTTCCTTAGTAGCACTGGGATCCATCTGAGTTACTAAAAGCAGGAATCCCAGGCTGTCCAGAAGCCTTCCCTTCCCACTCCAGGCTGACAATGCTTATTTCTTGCCTTGATTTTAGCCCCTCTTAGCCCTGTCTCAGTCTCTCATCCTTCTGATAGAGTCTGGATATTGTAAGAACTTTGCTAACCTTCAGATCTCACGGTGTCATTCTTTTCTCTTAGTCTCTTAGTGTCACATCTAAATGGCTTCTGATTTTTCTTTTACATTCCACGATGCGGCCCTCGTGATCGGGCATGTCTCCTGCCCACTGCACTCAGCTGTGCTCAGTTGTCCACAGTTTTCTAAATGTGCCCAGGGGTCTCGCCCTTTCTTGCCTTCACCTCTGCTATTCCCCTTCCTAGAATGCCCTGCCACGTCTGTTCTCCAGTGTCTCACAAGATCTTGCTTGGCTCTTCTGGCCAATTTTTTATTCCCATTGCTTGTCCCATTCTAAGCATTGATAGAAAACCTTTTATTTGATCTAGTTTTATTTCTTTTATGTGTGTGGTAAAATATACATAACAAAAAATGAGCCATTTTCACCATTTCTAAGGGTGCAGTTCCATGCAGTTGAGTAGATTCACACTGTTGTGAATCACAGAGATTAGGAGAAGAGGCTGAAGACAGGAAAATATGTAAGAGTTTGTTCAAAAGTAGAGACAAGTCTTTAGAAAACAATAGACTAACAAGCTTTTCTGACCATTGACAGTAGGAAGTAGGTGGCATGTGAACATGGCAGGAGGAAGCAGCAATCCCTTGAGTCAGAAATGACTGTGTAACCCTACCTTCTCACTGGACAGGATTATTGGCGCCTGCTTTGCAGACATGTGGCAGCTGATTGGGACCTGTGTTGTCCCTGGATTTCTGCTTCATAGTACACTGAAATCTACAGAACGCTTATTTTTAGTAACAAGGTGAGGATATTTTCAGGGACTTGGTCTCTTTGAAACCAGTGTCACAAATTGGTTGTGGCAAATTATTGACATTTATCACAAATCTGGGAAATGTTTTCAATAATAAGATCAGAACTTAAACATATGTTTAGTAGATTAAATTATGAGTTAAAACCCAGTAAGTTAAATTTTACAAAAATAAATATAAAGCCAATGGTTAATTAGGTAAAGAGAAAACAGCTCCCATAAAGACAGAGTAGCATACCAGAGGCAGTGGCTCACACCTGTAATCCCAGCAATTTGGGAGCCCACAACGGGAGGATTGCTTGAGGCCAGGAGTTTGAGAGTAGCCTGGGCAACATAGCGAGACCTCGTCTCTACAAAAAAAAATTTTTTTTTCAATTAGCTGAGTACAATGGCACACACCTGTAGTTCCAGCTACCTGGGAGGCTGAGGCAGGAGGATCGCCTGAATAGGAGTTTGAGACTGTAGCAAGCTATGGGTATGCCACTGTACTTCAACCTGGGCAACAGAGTGAGACCTTGACTCAAAAAAAAAAATTAGTTGGGTATGGTGGTGCATGCTGTATGCCTAGCTACTTGAGAGGCTGAGGCAGGAGGATTTCTTGAGCCCAGGAGTTTGAGGCTACAATGAGCTATAAGATCCTGTCTTTAAAAAAAGAGAGAGAGAGAGAATGGTGGAGTCCTGACCTATGATCTTCCCTATAGCAAATGTGTGGGGGTTTTAGTGGACTTCAAACTGAACTTAAAGTAGCCGGACTGCCAAAAGTCCAGATAAAGGAAAATAATAATCCTATTGTACTTTCTACTAACCACACTTTGTTTCCTGATTAGCTCTGTGGTTGCTTTGTATTTATTCTTTGTATCTTTTGTAAACGTGACACATTACATGATTAGATGGGCAAGGTTCATTTAGTCAGCAAATATTAACTGAGCATCTGTTTTATGCGAATTATAAGATAGTTCCTGCTCCTTTGCAGGAAAACAATATGATTTGTCTCTGCTGTAAGAGAGGCGTCATTCATACAGATGATTATAATACACAGTGGAGTGGGACAGATGCCACAAGTGCTTGGCAGGGCCCTCTTGGAGAGTGGGTCACAAAGAATTTTAACAAGCGGAGACAAAAGGAGAGATGACTTTAGGTATAAAACAAGGCATGTGCAAGTTTTCAGAGGCTTACAGCACAGGGCCTCAGTCGATAGGAAATTGTTCACAACGGCTCTGTAACATAATAAATAAATTGGGGATGGCGACCAGAGTGGTATTCTGGGGCCACTGGTGACAATCGTATATTGCCAGGAAAGAATTTAGAATTGACACTGCCAACTCTAGGCAGTCAGGAACAATTAAAAACCTTTAAGTGACATGTTGAGATATTTGCTTTAGAAAACCAGCCCTGACCATCATGTGCTGGATTTCTTTCTACCAGTCATTTGAAAACGTCTCATTGAATCCTTGCATTCGTGCTGGGAGTTGGGTCATTCTTTATAGATGAGGGTTTGAGGCTCAGAAAAGTGAGTTACTCCAGGTCCCAGCAGCATCAAGCCCTGGTCTGCCTCACCCCGGAGCACCGGCTTCCCTCCCTCTGTGCTGATGAGAATGGCACAGGGGTGAGCAGATGGTGCAGGGCTGAAGGCGCCAGGCCAGGTACTTCACGGTCATGACTAGTCTGCCATAACTTAACCTTGTAACATGCCAATTCCATGCTGTGACCTTGGCACAAAACAGCGTCTGGGTCTGGTTCCGGTTCTCATTAACATGCGTGGTTCTTGTGTTTGTCAGTTCTTTGGGCCCGAGCGCACTGAAGACGCTGGGGAGTGCGGCCTCCGTGAAGCGAAAAGAAGCTTCCCAGAGTTCAGCTCAGTCCAAAGAAAAGAAGAAAAAGAAGTCTGCACTCGATGAAATCATGGAGGTACGGTGTGTGAGCCGCTCACTTCACAGCTCACTTCACAGGGAGGATGCGATTCAGCCCTGGGGAAGGCCAAATTGTTTCACCAATTGCAATGATTAGATTAACATAAAGTTAGAAAAAGGTTCATGTGTGTAGGCTAGGGAATCGAGCCTAGCTGCAGTCCTCACAGCGCTGGGCCCCCAGAAGGCTGATTCGCTTGCTTCGAGGCTGTCTTGGAAACCCCTGTGTGCAGGTGTGGCCAGGAGCATTCTGATAGAAGCCAGGGTCCTCCAGGGTGCCCGCCTCCTCCTTGTCTCACTCACCCATTGCCGCTGACTTCCACGTGCCACCTCCTTCCTTGCCAGCACAGAAGCTGTGGCATGTTCTTCGTGCCATTGAAGCTGATGCCTAAGTCGATGTGATGACTCATTGGAAACGTATGATTGTCTGGATATAGGGCCATACTTTGACGCTAAATCTTCCAAGGCACGAGAGTAATCTGCAGAAGGCTCCCGCTGTGCTCCTGAGTCCATTCTTTTCTCCCTTCTGACACAGCCTTACCTTGTCAATAAACCAACAGAGTCAGTGGGAGAGGAGAGAAACGCTAGGCGATGAGGAAGAATAGGTGATACGACAAGCTGACTTTTTTCCCTTTAAACATTTCCTCTGACTTCTCATCTCTTTCCTTCATTCTCTTTCCTTTACTGTGAGGCGACAGGAAATAACTGTTCTGTCTCCTCTGTTACTGGTCCTTGCACCATATAGAGGCAGTCTAAAAAGCTCCCATGTCGTGTAAGGTGAATACACTAGGAAATGGGTTCATTCCATTAGTCAGTCAATATTGACTTGCTGTTATGAGCTAGCAGTTTTTCTTTCTTCTTGTTTTTAGAGATGGGGTCTTGCTGTGTTGCCCAGGCTGGATTTGACCTCCTGGGCTCAAGTGATCCTCCCACCTCAGCCTCCAGAGTAGCTGGGATTACAGGTGTGAGCCACCACACCTGGCTGTGCTGGGCATTGCGCAAACTTCTGGGTCTGTGCGTTGGTGACAAAAATACAGTCCCTGTTTGTCCTGGGGCTTTCATTGTGGTTAGGGAGCCATTTTGCAAGGGACCAAGAAACACTTACGAAATGCCAAGGGCTAAGGAGGTAGGAGGGCGAGGCGTGGGGAGGGAACTTGAGAAAGGTGGGAGGCAGGAGAGACTGGGGCCTGTGGTATTTCAGGCTCGGGAGCGCAGGCAGGCCGGATGCGGAGCTCCTGGGCTCCAGCAGGCCTCCTGCCCCTGTCTCCCAAAGTACTGGATTACAGGCATGAACCACCATGCCTAGCCTGCTTTACACACATTTTTTTAGAACCCAAGGTATTTTTAAGACCAGGCACAGTGGCTCATGCCTGTAATCCCAGCACTTTGGGAAGCAGAGGTGAGCAGATTGCTTCGACCCAGGAGTCTGAGACCAGCCTGGGCAACATAGTGAGACCTTGTCTCTACAAATAAATGAAAAAATAGATAGATAGATAAATAAATATATAAGCCCAAGGTCTTTTTAAAATAAAAAACAAATTGCAAATAATATTTATTTTTGTTTATCAGAGCTTGCAAATTATATTATTTATCTTCTGTGAAGTATGTGTCTGTGGTGTTAATTTGTTAATGCAGTTGTATTTTGAAATAAATTGAGGATTTTAAAAAGATAATTTTAAGAATATCTTATGTGTTCTGTAGATTGAAGAGGAAAAGAAAAGAACTACCCGGACAGACTACTGGCTGCAGCCTGTAGGTATTCAGTCGGATTCAGGTTATATGCTGAATATGCGTTAAGGGAAGCATTTAACTAGCATTTGGTATAGTAACTACATTTCTCAATATGTAACCGACATTGGTGGTTATAGCTTAAGTGACATTTCTTTCTCTTGGCTCCTTATTGGTTGCAGCTATTTGGGAGGGTCATTTCATGTTACTTCCTTGAAATGCTAATTTTGCTTATGGACATCTTGAATTTGAGCCTGGAATTTTCTATTATTGCAGAAGGTTATGTTTTCAGAAATAGGATTCAAAGGCAGAACTGTAAATGCTGAAGTATTAGTCTTCAATTCACAGCTTACTGAATTTAGAATACCTATTTAGGTAGTTTGTAGGGAAAAAACAGGTTTTAATCTTCATAAACTCAAAGAAGCTTTATATTTTATTGCTTATTTAAAATAATAATTTAAAAATAAATTTTAAACATTTGACATTTTCTAAAATTACTGTTTACTGATGCTCCATTTTGGACTTACTGAGATGTGACATTTTCATAACTTTTCAGAGTGCCTTTGTCATTCTTAAAGAAGCTGATCTGATCGGTAATAGGAAGGCAAAAAGTAATCTATCATTTAGATAATTTCCAATGTGAGAAATAAGATTAATCATACCTTGGAAGTCAAGAATTCCAAAATTCGAATTCAAGTCTTCGTAATTCTCCCACTGGTATGAAAATAATTTCATTTCCATGTCTTAGTCTGTAGGAAACACTTCTGTGAGTGACCACATGAAGAAGGATCATGAAATAAGTTATCTAAGATGAAAATATTTCCTGTGTTAAATAGAAAATAAGCAATCCATATGAATTATTTCAGTTAATTCTCAAACACCTCTAGAAGGTCTTTTCTGGGTCCCAGCCCAATTTTATAGGTGAGTAAACAGAGGCATAAAGTAGACTGGTTTTCTCAAGGTCACCTAGTAAGTGATGCCTTCCCTGGCCCTGACTTTGTAGGTTGTCCTCTCGGTGACTGCTCATACTGCTCTTGGTTTGCATTGGTCACCTTGACATCCTGGTCTGAGTGGAAGTTTGGGCCATGGTGAACTCAGGGATAGCTCATGAGACAGAAGACTCTAACCTGCTTACTTATAAGAAGAGTGAAGGAAGGGCCTGTAGGAAAGAACCATCTGAAATATTTTGGTTTTATTTCCCTGTAGGGGTAGCTGGTGTTTGAATAGTGATAGTTTCATATGTTGTTTATGAAATTATAATCATGAATTTTACTTTAAAGTAGTAGCTCTTCATGAACTTTAAAAAAAAAAGAAAAGAAAAAGAAAAAATTGGTCCCATATCAATAAAATTGTCCATCAAAAATAAAACAAAATAAAATAAATAAAGTAGTAGTTCCTAACCACAGAGTAATTAAAAATCTCGTACAGAGTATTTTCAAAATATATATTCAAGGCCAGGCATGGTGGCTCAAGCCTGTAATCCCAGCACTTTGGGAAGCCGCGGTAAGGCAGTTGCCTGAGCCCATGGGTTCAAGACCAGCCTGGGCAACTTGGCAAGACCTCATCTCTACAATAAATCAGAAAAATTAGCTGGGCATGGTAGTACACTCCTGTAGTTTCAGCTACTTGGAAGACTGAGGCAGAAGGATCATCGGAGCCCAGCAAGTTGACGTGACCTTGAGCGTGCCGCTGCACTCCAGCCTGGGCAATGGAGTGAGACTTCAACTCAAAAAAAAAAAAAAATACATATTTTCCAGTGCTAGCTACCACCATCCAGACTCCTGCGGTGAAACACAGGTGCTCATTCACCTCGCCAGGGACTCTGATGTATGTCCGTGGCCAAGAGCCCTTGGCTGAAAGGAAAAAGAAAATCAGCCAAAAGCAAAAGAACGGCAAAGCTTTCCAGGTATTAGCTCACCCAAAAGTTCTCCTCTCATTGCCAATTTTATTTTCTTTGATAATTTCCTCTGACAGTAAATTTATATTTTTCATCATTCCTCTTAACAGAGTGTTCTGTTAAAAGTGAGGGTTGGCCGGGCTCAGTGGCCCAGTCTGTAATCCCAGGATTTTGGGAGGCCGAGGCGAGTGGATTGCCTGAGCCCTCAGGTTCAAGACCTGCCCAGGAACTTGGCGAGATCTCATCTCCACAATAAATAAAAAATTAGCCAGGCATGATAGCGCGTGCCTATAGTTCTGGCTACTTGGAAGGCTGAGGCGGGAGGATCACCTGAGCCCAGCAGGTCAAGGCTGCAGTGGCCAGGAGCATGCCACTGCACTCCAGCCTGGGCGGCAGAGTGAGACTCCAACTCAAAGAAAAAAAAGTGAGGGTCAGCCAACAGTGCTGTGATCCATCACTGTGTCCCTTATTTTGAAATGAGCAATATGTGTGTTAAAATAGCCAACAATCCACAGATACAAACTGGGAGGACTTTATTTTTTAAGCTCATCGAAGAAATATTTTGAACGCTCTCTTGTGGACAAGGGTCAGTGAGTGCGATGATGTAATGAATTATCTTCCAACTACTGGAGTGGGATTCCATGGGGGCCTTTGAGGACATTAGCCTAGTATAATGGCTAAGTGAGAGGAGTTACTTTGACTTGAATTGGCTTCATTTAGAAAGTCTTAGACTAGAGGCTTCAGAAAACGACCATTCAAGTTTTCCCTTAAGTACATCTTTCTACTATTAAATATCTTCTCCACAAAGTCCTTCCTGAATGTTTGTTAACGCAATTTTAAGCCCGGCTTTATGGAATACTCGTGACCGTCTCTGATAGGTTCACTGAAGTAGGGAGTGTGGAGTCACTGCAGCGAATAGAGCTTCAATCGGGCAGCCCGATTATGATGGCATCTTTTAGACAGCTGATCCAAATCAGGAAACAGCGGTAAAGAAGCAAACTTGGAGTTCCTTAATATAAAGTAAGCCCCAATTTCTCTCCCAAAGAAAATGAGATGCTCAGAAGAATGATACTTTTAGCTAGGGCTAATCTGGAGGAATCTCGTTTGTATCAAAAATACAAAGCCATCAAAGGGGGAAAGAACATGGTGTCCTCCATAAGCCCAAAGGCTCAGGCCCTTGCAGTCTGCAGTGAGACTCTTACACTCTGAGCTTTTAGTCAGCACTGTACACCCACGATAGAACAGCACTTTTCACTTCCTGGAATGGAGAGAAAGAAGCTGTCCATGGAAGACATGAAATAATGGAGTTGAGATTTACATGTGAAAGTCCTAGATTTCAGGAAGCCTTTGCTATGGAAATCAGCCATTTTGTGTACATTTTTTTTTCTCTTGGTAACCAGGTTGAACAGAGGAAGAAGGAGTAAGCTTTGCCCCTTGGAAAGGCCTAGACTCTGTAATTTCTTCCTTAGCCGAACAGTTATGTTTTACTACGGTGAATGTAGTTTAAAACAAAGACGTAAACTAGAAATGGGAACTTATGTCTTTCATCTTAATTTTTTGTTGTTATTTTCTAGGAAATCATTGTGAAAATAATAACCAAAAAACTGGGAGACAGATACCATAAGAAGAAGGGCGTTGTTAAGGTAAGCACATGAAGTTATGTGTGGAATTTGTGAAGAAAGCTGCGGGTTGCCGGATGACGCTGTTCAGGTATTCCTTAAAAATCACGTCCTCGTAGTGGGAGTATTGTGCTAAAGTTCCTGATTATTCCCAAAAAGTGAAAGTAATTGTTGGAACAGTGGTTTTCTTCCAGCCATAGTTTATACTTAACCTTGGTCTGTTTTTTTTTACTGGGGCAAATAGTATGTATGAAATCCCATTGGTACCTCTTATAAAACTCAAGGTGCATACCTTACTTGTCAGTAAAAGGTATATTCTCTCTCTCTCTCTCTCTCTCTCTCTCTCTTTTTCTTTCTCTCTCTTTCTCTCTCTCTCCCTCTGAGTCAGAGTCTCACTCTGTTGCTCAAGCTAGAGTGCAGTGGCATGATCACAGTTCACTCCTGGGCTCAGGCAATCCATCCACCTCAGACTCCTTAGTAGCTGGGACTACAGGTGCGTGCCACCACACCCAGCTAATTTTGGGGGAGTTTGTTTGTAGGGATGAGTTCTTGCTATGCTGCCCAAGCTTGTCTCAAACTCCTGGGCTCAAGCATCCTCCTACCTCAGCCTCCCAAAGTGCTAGTATGGTATTCTCTTTTTCAGTAACAGACAGTATAATTGTGCTCCCAGAGGTCTCACGAGGACTTCCTTGTCTTTTGCCTGAGAGACTATTATATTTGGCTTCTTTGATATTTTAAAATTTGTGTCAGCATTCCATTCCTTTTCTCCTTTTGCCTTTCCTAAATTTCATTTTATTCTAGCACCCAGCCTTGTCCATGCCTAAATTGCTTTTCTGCTATACCTTAAGCTAGGCAAACTTACCATTCCTAGATTTCTTAAAGTCTTATTCTAAGATCACCAGTCTTATTCTTTCCAGACGAAAATCTTAACTTTGAGCTGAGTTCTTTATTGAGAACCATGGACTGAGAAATAGTATGTGGAATCTAGACAATAGTGTCTTTTATAGAAGGAATTACTCTTATCTTTTGATTGGAATTTTATCTGTTATCCTTTTATTTACTTTTGTAATAAAAATGAGTGTTCACATATTTCTTCTATTATAAAAGTGTTTATTTTACATGACAGGAAGTAATTGACAAATACACAGCTGTTGTAAAGATGATCGATTCTGGAGACAAGCTGAAACTTGACCAGACTCATTTAGAGACAGTAATTCCAGCACCAGGTAAGTTTGTTTGCTGACCAATCCCTAAGGCCATAAAAATGTGCGGTTCTGGTTTTTTTTTTTTTTCTTTTTTTAATTTTAATTTTTAGAGCTGTAGGGGACGTTTAAGGATTTGCTACATAAGTAAATTGCATACAGGTTAGGTTTGGGCTTCCAGTGAGCCCTCTTTTCCCCTGGTAGTGGACCTGGTCCCCCCCGGATGGTGGTATGGCCCTTCTCTACTCCCTCCCTCTCCCCACTAGCAGTGCCCCGCATCAGTGGCTCCATCTTTGTGTTCTCATTACCCATTGTTTAGGTCCAAGTAGTTCTGTTCTTAAATTGCTGACATTGTATTTTGACATTTCTTGACGGTTCTAGTTATGTTTCTACTTCCGAAATATTAACTGCTGATATAATTGACCCCTGACTTTAGGTGATGTAGCCATTTACCAATCCTCTGATCAAACTATTTTGTGGCATGAATGGATCTTCCTTTTCTATAACACATTTTTTTCCTGAAGCAAAGCACAAACATAGGTAGAAAGAATTAATCATATTAGGTGTATTACTATAATTCAGTATTTTTTTTACATTTTTGACATCAAAAAGCCAGGTACAGTTCAGTATTCTTTTTTTTTTTTTTTGAGTTTCACTCCGTCGCCCAGACTGCAGTGCAGTGGCGCTCCCAGCCACCGCAGCCTCGACCTGCTGGGCTCCAGCGATCCTTCCGCCTCAGCCTTCCGAGTAGCCGGAATTACACGCCTGGCTGATTTTTTGATTTATTGTAGAGATGAGTTCTCGCCAAGTTGCCCAGGCGCTTCTCGAACCCGCGGGCTCAGGCAGTCCACTCACCTCAGCTTCCCAAAGGCGCAGGATTACAGGCTGAGCCACTGAGCCCAGCTCAGTTCAGTATTCTTTATCCAAAATGCTTGGGTCCAGATGTGTTTCTGATTTTGGATTTTTGGGGGGGATTTGGAATACTTGTTTATATGTAATTGGATACATTGGGTAGGACTCAAATCTTAACATGAAATTTATTTATGTTTTATATACGCCTTATACCCATACCCTGAAGGTAATATTTAAGATATTTTTAATCTTGTGCATGAAACAAAGTTATGGGGTTTTGTTTTGTTTGGGTTTTTTTGAGTCATAGTCTCACTCTGTTGTCCAGGCTGGAGTGCAATGGCACCATCACTGCTACCGCAGCCTCGACCTGCTGGGCGATCCTCCCACCTTAGCCTCCCAAGTAGCTGAGACTACAGGTGCATATCACCAAGCCCGGCTAATTTTTTGATTTATTGTAGAGACAAGGCCTTTCCCAGTTGCCCAGACTGGTCTCAAACCCCTCAGGCAGTCTTCTCGTCTCTGTCTCCCAAAGTGCTGAGCCACTATGCCTGGCTGAAACAAAGTTTTGACTGTGACCTGTCACGTGAGGTCAAGTGTGGAATTTTCTGCTGTGGTATGTTGCTGCTCAAAAAGTTTGAGAGCATTTTGAATTTTGAATCAGGGATGCTCAACTTGAAATGTGTTTGTTTAATAGTCTGCGATAGTCAAGTAAAAGTGCCCCCCCATTCCCTGCCCCACCCTTACTTGTCTTTGCATTTTGGGTACTTACCCATATCTAAGTATAAGCACCACTTTGGTTAGGTCATTTGCCTGTGACTCAGAATCTTCTGGGGGTTTCTTTGCTGGTGCAGTGAGAACAGTCGCAGAAATGTCCACTTATATCCCTTTCCCCCCAAAGTAAAACTCTTGGTATAGATTAGAAAACTGACATACGCAAAGTATACAATTTGATGAGTGTTAACATGTGAACACTCCTGTGAAACCATCATTACCGACAAGATAATGAATGTATTCCCTCGTTTCTCTTTCTAGTCCCTCCTCCCTTCCTCAGTTCCTGCCTTCTCCGTCTTCCCAGGCAACTGCTGACCTGCTTGCCATCAGTATCGATTAGTTCATATTTTCCTAGAATTTTATGGAAATTAAATTTACATGAATGTAAACGTGTCCTCTTCTTTTGTCTGACAGCTTCTTTCCCTCAGCATAATTTGGATCCACGCATGCTGTTGCATGTGTCTGTGGTTCGCCCTTTTTATTGTTAAGTCATTGGCTACTGTGTGGATATACAGTAATTCCCCCTTATCTGTGGGGGGATGTCTTCTGACCACAGGTGACCGAGGGTAACCAAAACCTTGAACAACAAGGGATAACTATGCCACAGTGCGTTTATTTGGTCACCTGTTGAGGAACAGTTGGGTTTTTTACAATTTGGGCCTGTTGAAATAGTGAAAGTGCTGTGAACGCTTTTGTCCAAGGCTTTGTGTGGACCATGGTTTCTTTTGTCTTGGGTAGAGACTTAGCACGACTGAGTCACGTGGTAGGCATAAGTTTACATTTGTGTAAAACTGCCAAACCATCGTATGAATTTTAAAATGAGACAAAGTGAGCTCAATTTTCTCTGATTACTTCTGGACATTTTCTCGAAGTACTGTGTACTCCTTGCAATCCAAAATTAAAACATATCCCATTAACAAGTAAGTGAAGGGAAAAAAGAGGAGTTGTAATAGTGTTAGAGCAAAGAATATGTCCACAAACTGACAGGCTACACCTTAAAATACTACACAGTTCTTTTTTGTTTTTTTTTTTTTGAGTTGGAGTCTCACTCTGTCACCCAGACTGGAGTGCAGTAGCCGCTCCCGCCCACCGCAGCCTCGACCTGTTGGACTCAGGCGATCCTTCTACCTCAGCCTTCCAAGTAGCTGGAACTACAGGTACGCGCTACCACGCCCGGCTAATTTTTTTTTTTTTTAATTGTAGAGATGAGGTCTCGCTGCCCAGGCGGGTCTCGAACCCGCGGGCTCAGGCAATCCACTCACCTCAGCCTCCCAAAGGCACGGAATCACAGGCTGAGCCACCGAACCTGGCTAATTTTTTAAAAATTTTTTTAAAAGACAGGGTCTTGCTATGTTG